AGGCTGTCGGGGCTACTGACTAGAGCTGTGTGCTCTACTCCCCAGGAGCAGAAGGAAAACTAGCTGTGGACCGATCTCTCTCCCCGCTGGCGTTGCTCTAAAGTTTCTGAGGCTCATCATTTTGTGCCAACAGTGCCAGTAATACCCAAGCTACCTTTGCGGCGCCCTCGGCTGGAGTTTGGCTGCTGAGAGGGAGGCCGTGCGTGTTGGGGTCGCCTGCTCTGCCAGCAGATGACATACCCCGTGCCATGTGGGCTCAGTGACAGTCCCTGGGAGTCAGGGCTGACATGGCCAGGCTGTTCAATAACAGTAATCGTGGCGGTGAGACAAAGCCAGTCACAGTGCTGGCTCCGGGGGTCCCCACCTTTGCCATCCTGCTTGAGCCTGACAGCCCAGCCCTGAGCTCCATCATCAGCACAGGCATGTTACAGTCACAAGTCAGCATCCAGAGAGCTCGAGTCGCCCGAGGCCCAAAGTCAGCAGGGATGCAGGGTTAGGGGGCAGCTGCCTGGCTTCATTACGCTTCTTTGGCCTGGTCAGAGCAGGTGGCCGTGTCACTTTGTCCTTCAGGACTCTGTCGCTGCTGTGACCAGAGCAAGGCCCAAACTCCCCCAGGCTCAGCTGCTCTTTCTCTGACTTCTCGATCTGGCTGCGGCCCTTGGCACTTAGAGATTCCTCTCCAACCCTCAGATCCTTGTGGCTGCCAAGTCACCACTTAGGGGCCGTGTGCAAGGCTTTGTTACTTCTGCGCCGGCCCGCCCAGGGAGAAAGAAGAACAGTGAAACAGCTGGACAACTCCTGGAAAGCCACATCTTAAGAGCCTTTGGTTTAGTCTGAGTAGCCCGGATTGGCCTCCAGGGCAACTCCAGTTCTTATTGGTCTTTTCACCAGCACTAGCAGGGCTCAGATCCTCCAAGGGATGTGTTTCTGTGCCAAAAAAATTGACATCTTTCATGTCAAGCCATGTGGTTCCCAGGAACTTGAACTTATGGGTTATCTCTGGGGCCAGATGTTATCTTGGGTATATAAGCTGAGTGCAACACACAGACGTGTACCCCAGTCACTCTAATCAAATACGCAAATCAAATCTAAAATCAAGGCTACGAAGTGGGAGAATCGTAGCAGAAGAGGAAAAGAAGAATTTCGACTAGAAAAACAATAGTTAACATTTACTAGGTACTCGACGCACATCTCATTGAATTTTCCCAGTAACCTAATTAGGTAAAGATTATTATTATTTTTTTACAAATGCTTAAACTGAAGCCCAGAGAAGTAAAGTAACTGGCCAGAGATCACTCTGCCTGGATTCAAACGTAGAGCTTCTAGAACAGCAGGCAGGCTTCTTCTGACCGGGCCTTCAGGGGTGGGAAGAGCTTCATACCCAGTAGATTTCCGTAACAAGTTTTTACCATAAAAAAAAAAAATTGAAAGAATTTCTTAGTAAACACTCATATACCTACCACTTACTCTTAACATTTTTGTATATTTGCTTTATTACATATCTATCTTTCCTTCTATCTATCCGTAAATTCATCTGATTCTTTTTATTTTTTATTTTTTTCGCATTTCGAAGAAAGTTTTCGGGTGCCTCTTGCATATATTAGCATGCATATCATTAACTACAGTTCAATATTTATGGTTTTTTTTTCATTATTTATGGTAACATTGACATATGATAAAATGTGAGTACACATATCTAAGTGTACCATTTGAACTTCATATAAATAGATTCGTACAGTACGTAATTTTTGCAACTGGCTTATTTCACCCAGCATAATATTTTGAGGTTCATCCATATGGTCGTGTGTATCTGTAGTGCCTGTTTATTGCTACTATTCCATTGTGTGAGGGACCACTGTCTGTTCATCCATTCTCCTACCGATGGGCCCCTGGACCAGTTTGGGGCTATTATGAGTAAAGTTGCTAAGAACATTCACGTACGGGTCTTTCTGTGGACATACACTTTCATTTCTCTGGGGTTTATACCCAGGTGTGAAATGGCTGGGCCAGAGGGGAGGCATATGTTTAGGTTTATAAAAAAACTGCCTTTTTCCAAAGTGGTCGTACCAATTTACATTCTCACCAGCAATGCACGAGAGTTCCCATTGCTTCCGTCCTCATCCTGTAATGCTGGCACGCTTTTCACTTTAGCCATGCTAGTGGTTGGGTCGTGGTATCTCATGCGGTTTTAATTTGCATTTCCCTAATGACTAATCATGTTAATTACTCTCTCACCTGCTTAGCGGCCTTGTGTATGTCTTCTTCTTTGAGGAATCTTCAAATCGTGTGCCCATTTTAAGGCTCCAGAATGCTTACAGGGACGCCTGCCTTGCCCCTCTCTGCCCTCACCTGGATGCCCCAGGCTTCCTCAAGGCTGCTCCTGGGCCGATAACTCAAGGCCTTAACCATTCTGTATGTCTGGAATCTCTTCTCGCTCATCACCATCTAATGTACTCTAGGTCACTCATTCACCTCGTCCATCACCTGACTCCTCCCCTAGAAGTTTTTTTGGTTTTGTTTTTTTGTTTATTTTTTAACCATTTTGTTCTAACCCAGGGCCTAGAATAACATCTGGCACCTGCAGACCCTCAGAACATATTCATAGTATGAACGAATGTAAGGCAAATCCCCTCATTTCTCCCAGAGCCTGTTGGTTGGATCATGGCTTTGGTTCTGGAAAAGAAAACAAGACCTTCGTCCCAAAAGCCCAGGTGCCATCTAGAGCCACCAGCAAATGACGGAGTCTTCCAGGCCACCCCCTGCCTATTACACAGATGAGGAAACTGAGACCCTGAGTGGGAATGGACCTGCCCAGGTGTAAGCCTACTTAGTGGCAGAGGAATTAAGAACTGATGCCATTAGAATCACGACTGGCCCCTGGGGAAGGCCCCTGGCCAAGCCAGGAGACTTGAGGATGTTCGCAAAGCCTTTTGGTGCAGAAGACATTTTTGGTTTTCAAGGGGCCTTAGAGGAACCTGATGGGCCCCAGAGTGTTATTTTCTGGGTAATTCTGGCCTCTATCGATTAAACTTCTTTCCCGGAGGAGATGCTGCGACCACATCTCAGGGCCTAGGAAGAGGTTATATCAGCATCAGCTGGGCTGGCCCGTCCTTGAGCTCTAAATGAGACCCACTGGGCCGCAATTCCACAGCCTGCAGACATCCATGGGGCTGCCCTGCTGCCCTTCCCAGCGCCAGGGTGCCCGTAAGCTCCTGGGACATTCTGTTGTCCTGGCGACCCAGCACAGCCTTCTGTGTGGACCCAGAGGGCAAATTCACAAGCCCCGTGTGCACACACAGTGTCCGTGAGACAGCGGCTTCTCCGAGGGTTTGGGAGTGGGGGCGTCACCACCCCCTCCCATCCCGGTTTAGTCCCCTGACATTGGCGTCTCTCTCCTCACAACACACCTCTCTAGTCAGGTTTCTGCCAAATCAGCAGTTTAATATAGCACAGCTCTGCTAAGCCGGTTTAATCCCACCACCCAGAGAAACAGAACCACCGTCTGGATCCCATCCTCCCTTTGGAAAAAGCTGTTTCCTCATCAGGACTTCTGGGTCCAGTTGCCCTCTGACCTCCCTCATCCCCCACCCCCAGCAAGTGGTTCCACTCTCCTAGGCCTTTAACAGGGCTAATTTGGGCTCAACCCTCCCCCAGGCAGCTCCTTACAGCAAACACCACCCCATCCCTGGTGCCCTGGGCAGCATCACGGGACACGGGGCAGAAGAGGCACCAGCTACACCTTCCTGGATGTATAACTCTCCCCTCCTGTCTGATTAAGGTGTTCGCCCCTGCTGATACCCTGAGAGATTTGGTTTTCGAGGGGGCTTAGAGGAACCTGATGGGCCCCAGAGTGCTTATTTTCTGGGTAATTCTGGCCTCTATCGATTTATCTTCTTTCCCAGAGGAGATGCTGCAACCACATCTCAGGGCCTAGGAAGAGGTTATGTCAGCATCAGCTGGGCCGGTGCTTCTCAGGCAGAATGCAAACAGACCACACAGTGCACCCCCCAAACCCCCCAACCCGC